AGATAAATTCCAAATACCTTCCTCCTGGAGCTAAATATTTTCTAAAGGGAGTTACCTTTAAATTTTAATATTTCTCCGTCAAGTAGGTCTTTCTAGTCAGGCACCTCCAGAATGCCCGGTGCCCCAGGCAGCACACAGACAGCTGTCTTGCTAAGTCCCGCGAGCTTAATGCTGGGCGTAAAAGCCTGCTGTTGTGTTGTCCTCTGTGTATCGGAGCATAAATAGTAATGCTATAAAGACTATTTTTTCCTTGTTTGGTTGGTTGATTGGTTTGGTTTTTGTTGGTGGTTTTTTGGTTTTGTTTTTCAAAACGGTTTCTCTGTATAGCCTGTGCTGAAACTTGCTCTGTAGATCAGGCTGGCCTCAAACCCACAAGATCTACCTCTGCCTCCCGAGTGCTGGGATTAAAGGCGTGCAGCACCACTGCCTGGCGACTGGTTCAGTTTTTAAATAAGTAAAATTAGAGCTGCTAGATTTTGGTAAGCAGGTTGGCAGCTAAACACGTTAGAACAGCAGCTGAAGTGCACTGGCTGCTGAGGGTATTGAGAATATCCGGAAAGCATAATCACCATGGAAGATGGCTGTCATCTGAGAAAAGAATTATTTTCAGGGACCTTAATAGAACAGTGACATTTTCACAGCGCCATTCCAGACAAGTTAACCAGTGTAACTTATGCTTGTCTCAAAGCAAAACAGATTCCTGGTAAACTAAGCTGAGCATGGAGACATAGATGCCAATACAGCAGTTCTGCCTCTGCAGCCTCAGTGTGTGCCACAGCTGCCCCTGTCATAGTAAATACAAGTGTTGGCTAGAAAATGTAAAATGAGATGAAGCATATTGTTTACTAAGGAAAGGGTTAAATACTTTAGAAAATGTCCCAAGCCTTAGGATTAGACAGTTGTCTTATGTGGCCTGATAATTAGCCAGAATGCTACATTTCAATAACCAGCACCTTGCTGTATTGTACTGATTTTAATGGGAGATGCCAACCAATGTGATATCTGAATAGCTAGGACGTTACCTGTCTATAAAGTACAATTAAGCGCATGTTACATGGCAGGCACTGGATGGCATTCTTTGTCTGGCGCGTCTTAATGTGTTCAGTGACTAAGTTACGCTACCTCATGACCCTGACCTGCCTTCTCTCACTGAGGCTTGACAGCTTACACTACCTACGTGTGTGTGCAGGGCTGTCGTCCCAACACTTACAAGGTGGAGGTGGGGCCATCAGAAGTTCAGGGGCGTTCTGAGCTAATAATGAGTTTGAGACCAGCCTGGTCTTCTGTAAGTCCTTGTCTCAAAAAGCCCCCTTGAAAAATAACCATTTAAAAATAAAAATTTTAAAGCATATGTGAAATGACATAAAGAAACCCTTTACTTTGTATGGGTATTTTTTAATCTAATTTTTTAAAAAATCTCTAAGTATTAATTTAAAAGAACATGGTTAAGATTAACACTGACAGATGTGTACAGCGTTAATCCAGTAGACTAAGAGAGAGGGAAGGGCTCATGAAGAGGTGAAGCTGGTGGTTAACAGATGAAAACCGGTCAGAGCATTCTGTGAGCATATGTGAGAGCATCCCAGGAGCCCTATAAATAGAAAATAGTCAGATACACCACACACACAAATACACATATAAATACACACACACACACACACACACCCCACACGGAAGTGCCCTGTGAACATGGAAAATACATGGACCATCGATGCTCTCTTCTGCATCGCAAAGCCTACCTTGGTGTCTGCTTTATGGTAGATACTAACAAGTTGTATGAATACATATGTGGACTATAAAAAGAGAAGGTGATTAGAAGCTTATCTGAGGAATAGTGCAGAGCCAAAAGAGAGTTTTGAGTATTGAAATAAAACAGTGTATTGGTTTTGGCAACTCTGAGAGGTGGATTAGGTCTCTGCAAAGAAAGGAGGAAGCTGGGGTGTGTGTGCGCATGCACTTACGCAAGCGAATGCGACCACTAAGCGTTAGTAGAGGTGGTGAGACTGTTAACAGGTGTGACAACAGGGATGCCTGGTCTCGGTGGCGGCTTCACAAACTAAACAAGCGAGAACCGAGACATTCTGATGAGGAAGGGATAGTTTGAAAACTCATCCGGGTTTTGTGTCATTCTGGTCACCGGTGGTGGCTGAGTGCATACGTACCCCTGTGCACACATCCGGGGACTAGGGCTCTGTCACTCACGTCATGTTCCCTTGAGGTGGATAACTAACCAGCAAGCTCCCTGCCATCTGCCTGTCTCCACCCGTGCTGGGCATTCTGTCACCCCAGCAATCACACCTGGTCTTCATGAGGGTTCTGGACACTCACCTCAGCTCTTCATGCTTGCCATATTAAGCGCTTATTCGCAGAACCCAACTTGAGTGTGGTTTTGAGATACAGTAAACAGTGCGCAGTGATGAGCTGTGTCATAAAAAGCATTTATGAAGAGGCTTCTTGGGATGACTGCAAGGTTTCTGCCTCGATGACCCGCCCAGAGCTGCTGCTGTTCCAGCCACTGTGCTGAGCAACACAGGCGGGAGGAACAGACTTGTGTGGTGTTGCTTTGTTTGTTTTTCCCTGGAAGTCAGTGTGTTGGATGGCTATTCCAGGACTCAACACAAAGCAAGAACTTGTGTTTGGGGACGAGAGGGCTCTAAATAGGTGCCTTTCCTATCTGGAAAGCTGTGCTGTGTAGTTAGTTGAAGTTGAGTGTAGAAGTTTGATTGAAACGTGGTTCTCTCATCACAGCTGTGTGCCTTTGGGCAGGTGATTTGCTCTGTCTGTGACTCAGGGTGCACTTGAGAAGCAGGAGAAATAGTTAAGGTTACAGTTCAGATTACATGAGTTAAGCTTCTTGATCTGGGTTAACAGCTCTGTGAACCTCAGTTGCCCTGCATGTCCTCACTCACACACGAAGTCCAGAGAGGGCCACACAGTGATAGCTCACACCTTCAGCGTGATAGGCAGTGGTATGACTCTATAAGTGCTTTTGTATGAAGAAAGCAAACTATAACAGTTACTGTCAGGTCTACAAACCCATGACTGTACAAAGTAGCCACTCAGAGGCTGAAGAGACTTGAGGAGTGGTTACCACAAAGCACAGACAAAATCACCCACAGATCCCAGTGTGGATAGGGGTAAACCTCAGGAGGCCCCACCTCTAAAATGCCTCTACAGGCAATTACTGTCTGCTGAGACAGTTGAATCCATCTTCAACCCAACATAAGTTATTCAGTCCCAACTGGTCAACCCTAAACATCTGTACATAGGAGCAGCACTAAGTAAACTCAGCAAATTGCGTGTGTGTGTAACAGTGATTTAAAAATGAAAATAATAGTATTCATATATGAAAATGTCAGGCAATAATGATTAACGTCTGACCTCTTAAAGTGTCAAAGAAAATTATCCATATAGAGAACATGTTCTAGCACCAACTGCTGAATACAAGTACAGGCCTGGGATTGGTAAAGAAGGAAGAGGGAGAAACTTGGGGTAGGGTTAGGGGAAAGGAGAAAGGCAAAGAGTCACTTAAAGGCAAACATTCAGAAGATGAGAAAATAAAAACAGAAGAAATGTGACAAGATTTTTTTGTGCTTGGAAAAGAAGTTTGTGCTTGTTGGTTTTGTCAACTTGAACAACCCTACACGTATCTGGAAAGAGGGAATCTTAATTGAGAAAATGCTTCCATCCATTTAGGCTATAGACAAGCCTCTAAGGCATTCTCTTGATTAACAATTGATTTTTGGAGGGCCCAGCCCACTGTGGGCAATGCCACCCTTGCCCTGGGTTGTATAAGGAAGTAATCTGAGCAAAGCAGTAAACACTGTCGCTCCATGGTTTTGTTTCAGTTCCTGCCCTAAGTTCCCTTGAACTGTAGGCTGTAAGATGAAATAAGCCCTTTCTTCCTCTAGTTGCTTCTGACCACATGTTCATCCTATCTTAGAAACCCTAAGACATTAATTACAAGCTATCCAAGGGAGAGTAAATTCAAACAAAAGTCTAATAAGGGCCATTGATGAAAAAGGGAAATAACTAAGACTATGGAAGTAGGATGTAAAAGCAAAGAAGGGGAACATAGAAAGTAGCCAGTGGGATGCAGGCTGGAACACCCACATATGTCCCTGGGATCTCCCAAGACAGTAGAACAAAATCCTCAGCTGTGAGGTGAAGAGAGCCAGGACAGCTCTCAGTCAGCCTCGTGACATTAGATTTTAAAGATGAGTGTTTCTTTCTGGACCCGGGGGGTGGGGGTTACATTACTAATAAAGTTAGAACCATGTTCAAAGAAGGCGGCAGTTCAGCAGCGCTTAAGCTGGCTGATTTGCTCTTCGAGCATCAGGTAAACAGAGTGAACATACAGGAATTAGAAGATGCATACCGAAACAATTACAGTTTGATGTGGATCCAAGAATGAAACAGTATTGGGAATATAAGTGTAATTGTTGTGTGTCTAGATAAAAAGAATGATTTAAAAATGAAATACAGTATTCATGTATGAAAATGTCAGACCTGGGAACACACATATTCCAACGTGACCTAAAAAGTGCAGCATTACACGCACAGTTTCTAAACAGCACGTCTGGGATGTCACAGTAACAGAAGGCTTTGAACTACCAACATCAAAGCCATTAACCTCCTAATTTGGGCTATTTAGGGCCTCAAACATGTAGATAGTTGCTCATCTGTCTTCCTAATGATAAAGCAACATTACGTGTAATGTCCAGTATAACGTCGTCTTGGTAACTGAAAAAACCCTAGCCAGGTGTGGTTGGTCACACCAGTCATCCTAGCACTTGCAGAGACAGACAAGAGAATAGCTGCAGGAGCGAGACCCTGACTGAAGCAAACAGGAAAGCTACACCCTGGCCTGAACCTGGGCTTTTTCTACCGTAAATGATTATACTGAAGCATGAAAGGATGCTTGGGAATGGCAGCGGTAAGATGTGAAACTGCAGCTGTGTCTCCGCGGGAGAGGTTCATCTTGTGATCTTTCTTTTCAGAAGCTGATAAAATACCAGTGATGCGCGGACAGTGGTTCATTGATGGGACTTGGCAGCCTCTAGAGGAAGAGGAAAGTAATTTAATTGAGCAAGAACACCTCAGCTGTTTTAGGGGTCAGCAGGTGGAAGAAAATTTTGATATTGAAGTGTCAAAATCCATAGATGGAAAAGATGGTAAGATGACCAGTTAATACATTTACTGTGTTCTATAAAAGGAAGTAATTGGTACAGTTGGTAAGTTTGGCAACAGTAACTCAGGAGGGTAAGAATTTACTAAATTTGATGTTGTTTTGAGGTACTAACAATCAGGCCTTTGCATGCAAATGTTCCACCCTGAACATACCTTTTCTAAAATCTAAAAATGCTATGAATTTCTGGATTATTTTACTTAGTATGTATGGGGTTTTTTTTTGCATGATACTAGCACAATGTACTATTTAGGTACAAATTGTTTATATTATACTCAGAATTAATCATTTGGGGCAATTTGACTTATCGCTGAAAATAAAACTTATTAAATAAAATCTTTGCTCTTATATTTTAAAAAAGCAGTTTTATTAGTATTTTAACTGAATTTAAAAAGCCAGAATTGCTTTTGTGTTACCCTTTACATGTCTCTGAAAGATAGATATCAGTTTCTAATTTAAAACAGTATGCTTTTTATGTTTCCTTACTCAGTAAATATGTTTCAATAATGTTAAAAACGTTGTATATAATACCCAAGATTGCCATGTTTTCAGTATGTGTCTGAATCTTGTGTAAACCGTCAAATACGTGGTGAAGTTAAAACTCCTTCTATTCCATTTACCGCAGGCAGTGGAATCAACTACTCTGGTGAGTACAATGCCAGGTAGCCTAGAATGTGGAGATTTTCAGGGTTTCATCATCCATGCTTGCCTTTATTTGGGAGGCTTTTGGCAAGCTCTGCTGAACTAGTGAATTAAAGTATAGCTTGCGTAACTGTTTTTCTTCCCCCTTAAAACCTCTCTAAAGCCCAGAAGCCCGGTATTGATGACGTAATTAACAGACTGCAGCTCTTCTGTGTCTGCAGGCTGTATGTCGTCCTTCTGCCCGTTTGTCCATTCCTCTCGGCTTCACTGCCTTCATCTTTCTGAACATACATATAGACACATGCATTGGTCACAGAAAAGCTTTAACACTACCTTAGCTTTTCTGTCTACTCAGTTATGTCTAGATAATTGAGGAGACTTGCAGTTTCCACGTTAATTACTAGTTAAATCAGCATTTACGTGATACTTTCCAATTTACAGGTACCATACTCTGTAAGTTTTAAATACGTTACCTCATTTTCTTAATCTATAGATTCAAGTGTATCCTTATTTTGCTGTCAGATTTAGGCTAAAGGTTTTACCCATCAGTGTAATCAAGCAGTTCTCTGTAAGAGCTGTGGCTGCAGATGCCTGCAGGTAATATTTTAATAACTACAGAAATTAATACTTCACTCTTGTGTAACAAAAATAATAGAAACTGTTTGTGATATGAAGTTAAGAAATGGTCTCTCACCACTACCTCTAGAATCGCCACCAACCTACATCACAGTGTCTCAAAGACGGGACTTTTGTCATAAAACAGTTTCACTGCTAGTAGACAAAGTGGAGTTTAGACATTTTTTTTTTCTTCTTCTTAAGTTTTCTACCTCAAAAATGGCAATTTGGGTAACAAACATAGTTTTGCCACCCCTGTTCCTTATGGTTAGTGCCTGAAAACTTGGAGGAAACAGTATGCAAAAAGAAGAAAGTTATTCCCCTCCTCATACTATCATCTTCCCCTTTGCCACCAGCCTGTGTAGTCAGTCAGCAGTTCTATGTCATCTCTACATCCTACCTGTTTAGACTCATATTCACAATAGAATTAATTTTCATGTGACCCCTGTACTCCTGCTCGCTCTCTCTAAATATTAAATGTAACAAATACTTTAGTCTTCTGCAAAGTGCCCAAGCTTAATATGCCTCAGAACAGTTTATTTGTATAAGTAGATTTCATAGTTGATGTTCTCTCTCTCTCTCTCTCTCTGTGTGTGTGTGTGTGTGTGTGTGTGTGTGTGTGTGTGTGTGTGTGTTACAGAAGAGAGAAGAGACTCAGCTAGGGCAGCACCGCATGGTATCTTAGGGAGAGTTAAATCTAGCCAGCATGGTGATGTACACATTTAACGCCAGCTCTCAAAGCCAGCCTAGTCTACACAGCAAGTTCCAGGACAATCAGTACTACGTAGAGAGACCTTCTCGAGAAATACTTAAACTATTACACTGTCATATTTTTTAAATGATCCCTTTAAGTTCATTAGAGGAAATTTTTACTTTTGTTGTTGATCTTTTCTTTTTCTTTTTTCAAGACAGGGTCTCATGTAGTCCCAGATGGCCTTGAACTCTCCATGTTCAAGGAGATATCTTGGGAATGATATCTTAACCTACCTCTACCTCCCAAGTGCTAAGATTACAGGCATACCCCACCACTCTCAGTTTATGATAAAAAAATTATCTGTACTGTGGCATAGCTAAAGATTTATCATATTACTAGTTCAATTTATTATAAATATAATTTTCAGTCCCTTCATCTGTTATATTCAGTGTATATTCAGAGGTTAAGGTGTTACACTTTAAAGATTCTGGGAAATTTTGTAGTGTATTTGAAAATTACAGCTGGTATTACAGAAACATCATTTACCCTCTAGAAAGCCACCATTTAGAGGAATACCTCAAACTTAAAGTAGTTAACAACAACAAAAAAATGTATACTCCAGATTATTTCATCTTGCTTTCTAAACTTTCTATTTTATTCTTTCAGGGATGAAAAATACCTTTTCCCCTAAATATATTCTTGTGTGATGATAAAGCATTGATTCTTCTTGTGTCAAGATTGTTAATGCCTCCAAGCTGTGCTAGGCACTTTTGTGGGAGAAATATAAGGGCATCTACCCTCAGAGTTTTCAGGATGTCTCAGAGAAGGGAGACCCAGCAGGAGAGGTATAAGACAGTAAATGTGAGGAGGCACAGCGGACAGTGGATCCAAACTGTTTGGAATAAAGTGCCATGGAGTTATTAACAAGCTGTCTAGAGTCTCTTCCAGTAACTACAAATGTTTGCAAATACTAGAAGCAGGAACTCATTGGTGTTTTAGGGAATTACGAGGGAACTAAGTTCTTGCCTTCAGGGACATCAGAATGAAATACTGCTTCTCACACTTTGACCATGTCTGTTTAGTGTAGCTGTCACCACAAGTGGATTAGATGTGCTTAAATTTTATCTTCTTTATATTTTTTCATACTAATCTAAATGAACATTGAATTAGGTTGATGGAGGTCTAGTATAACTATCCAAATAAAGAGACCCCACAAAAAAGATAATCATTGTTTGTGACTTAGATATTTGAATCTTAATTCTCTGAGAACTAAAATGAAAATGCTCCCCTACCCCATCTAGAATTCAGGGGGAAAATATGTGTGTGTGTATATGCACCACCTGTGTTCAGGAGCCCGTTAGGGTCAGAAGAGGCATCAGACCCTCTTGACCCAGAGTTACAGATAGGAGCTGCCATGTGGGTGCCGGGAACCAAACCTGGGTCCTCTGCAGGGGCAGTAAGCGCTCTTAACCACAGAGCCTTGGCTCCACCCCAAGGCTAGGAAAATGTTGTCTAGCATGGCGACTAATCTGAGCCACCCATTCGCTTGAGATGACTAATTAAATAAAACTGTGCCTTCACATACATAATCTGTAAACATGTTTAGTACTGGATTGCAGTTTGTCCAGGCATAGACAGTAGTGTTTAACAGTTGACCTAAGTGCACTAATGTGGTGTATCATTCTGGCCACAAAATGCACAGCCTCCGTTTCATGTTAAGAAAGCGTAAGATGCACTGAACATGAGGCCTGCTGCTCCAGATAACAAATGAGATGTGCCTGTTGTGGTCAGGCCTGGTCACAGGCAGGAGCCTGAGGAGACCAGGGGACCAGACAGTGCGTGTGATCCAGGAACAGAAATCCACTGTGGAAAGCTGGAGAGCTCTGAGCGAATCCCAGCTGACAGCTGTGTGCCGGGGTTACTTGCTCCATTGTGGTAACTGCACTGGAGTGGCACTGTGCTAGCCCAATGGGAAGCTGATGTCAGTAAGAAATTAAGGTGAAATACTGAAAATCTTCAGTTAACACAAAAACCAAGACAGTGGGAACAGAGAAAGAGAAACCAGGCAGGGCCAGAGAAAAGTCCCTGTAGGCGTGCGTGCACCATGTCGAGAACAGACTTGATAGGCGCAGAGCCTGCCGGTGTCCACATTCAGGCTACACCGACACTGGCCTCACGGGTAAGGCCCGAGGCTTCGTCTACCACCAAGACTTAGTCACACCAAAGTCCCGGTTAAAAGTTAGTGACACATGCTGATGGTACAAGTATTACTAATGCTGTGAGTGTCCACAGTGTGCAGCCATTTATTTGATGAGGAAAGTATATATTCCTACAAATGTCCGAAAGAACATTTCAGAAGTCGGTAAAAAAGATGAGGGCGCCAGATTAATCCAGCATTCAAAAGGCAAAGGCAAACTGAGCTCATGTCTACATAGCATGCTCCAGGAAGGCAGGGCTACCTATAGTGAGACCCTGCCTAAAAATAAAAATAGATGAGGGGGAGGTGTTCTGATCCCTAGTTTGGAGTTGTGGTTTTATGATTTAATTTTTTATCAGTTTGTTTAATTTACCTGAGGTCCAAGAAAGAGTTCTGGAGTTTTGTTGTAGTTAGCAAGTTTGAGATGCACAGGACCACCTACTTTGCCTGAGAGTAAATTCTCCAGGTCGCTGAGCATCATGGTACATGCTTGGAAAGGAACTCAACAAGAGATCGTTTGAGGCAACTTAGGCAAGCCCCTGTCCAAAAGAAAATAAATTTTAAGTTTCCAGACAATCGGTTTTTATAAAGGGAGACGTTACTGCATGTTTCTCTTATAGGAATTATTATTCTGTCCACTTTTTGGATAAACTTACTGTATTCAAAGTTACATGGCAAAGAAAGATTCTTTGAGAGATTCATTAGTTATGGAGATGATTCTAAGTAATTTAACTCTTCAGTCTTTTCTCATTACTGAGTAAGACTTTAATTTTATTAAATGTTATCAGCTTATAAACCAGCATCTTCAGTTGTACTATCAATGTGTGCACACTTGTGCAGTAGTGCGTAGGAGCTACTAAACTTTACTTTTAACAAAAGACAAAGGAAATAGAACTTTCTAGGCCTTCAGTCTCCTTTACCAGTGAGTGATCTCCAGCTGACAGTTTACAAAGGTTTTCTTACGCAAAAAGAAAAATAGCACCTGTAATTCTGTTTGGGATTAAAAGTATTAATCCTAAGCAAATGATTTGCAAGTGAGAATAAGTTGTAAAGGTGAAGAACTAACCATTTAATTCTATAAAAACGTTTTAAATAAGTACAGTGTTCCTTTGAGATGAAAAGCTGTGTAATGGTGTTTGCTTATCTTTGTAGAGTTATGCTATTGGTTTTAAAAGGTGAGAATTCGTTTTTGTGTCTTCACCAGTTTTCTGAAAGTGCTCACATAAATTTATAATGTCAGGTGGCTCATGTGTGTCCCAAGAGCTTTGTTTGGTAAATATGGGATTTGGTTCAGGTTAATTTTACTAGACCTACAGAATGTAGTCTTTGTTTCTCTGTGTAGCAAATAACCAAGTGTATGTCTGTCTGGCCCCTTAGCTCTGTTAGCAGCTTTCCTAGCTTGTTTGCTTAAATGTGTTTGCTGGCCCAAGTGTACCTCTGCTCCTGGATGACTGGCCAGAGGCACGTGAAAGAAGAGCGGACAGGAAGAAAACACTTCCATGTCCTCTTCTACCGTGTCAGCGGCATTGGTAGCCCTGCTGTCAGCCAGCTCGTAGCCCTGTCCATAGGCCTTCAGCCATCTAATTGCATGTGGTTGCAGTAATTAATTTGTGGTAGAGTTAGTGCCTTCTAAGAATTTCACACGAAAGCCCTTATCTCTGCAAATACACTTCATACACAAATCTCTGCATATGTACTTCAGTTGTGTATACAATAGAAATGAAAGATTTTAATTGAATGGTATGTAACCTTTTAATCTCAAATTCATGTAGAAGGGAGTGAAGGTGAAAATTGAATGTATTAGAATAAATTTTAAATCGTAAAAAATTGGTAATTTGTTAACTAAAGTAAACTGATTTATAAGATTCTGTTTTAAGTGAACTAAAATAATTACTTCAATATAATTAATATATCTGTAACATAAAAAGCAAAATTGGACAAGGAACATGTTGGCTTTAAGGTTATCTACTGGCTTGTCAAGTATCAAGTGTGTGCCTGGCTTCTCTGTGTTGTCTGCCCAGTGCCTACAAGGTAATAGTAATTTTATGTTAGCACTAAGCTTTCCAAAAGAGATGGTTGAAGGTGGAGCCTCCAATTTGATTTTCTTGAAAGTTTATTCACTTTTAGTCTTTCGAACAATTGTCTTGGTCATGAAAGGAAGCCTTGCTTCTGACACAACCTTGAAGCCATCATAGCTCAGTATGGGTAGAGTTCAGTGGACTGTGTGTCCAGGCAAGTGGAATTAGCTGTTAAACATGACTGTAGTCTCAGATTGTGTATCATTGCTTGACTCTGCCATCAGAAATGTGGTGATATAAATAACCTTTAGTATCATAGAGAGAGTTTGTAAATCTCTTAGCATTCAAAATGCCTTGCATTTCTTGTAGCTATGCAGAGGCAATAAATGATGATGATGTATTGTCTGTCACTGATAAATTTAGCTATTCTTTGCCTTTGTTTCTTTTAAAGAAAGTAGAGCATATATTTGACAGACATTAAACTAATTTTTGATTTACTGTTGTTTTTTTTTTTAACTAGAAATTACATTTTGGAAAGCATTTAAAATAATGTTTGTCAAATGTAGTTTTTAAAAGTCAAAACTAAAAGGGAAAGGCAAAATAGAAAAACTCACTTAAATTTACTTTGAAGCTGAGTGTTTTTGCTTTCTTAGTTGTCTACCACATACCTCCCTTCTCCCTCCCTTCTCTGTTCAAATGGAGAGGAAATAAGGAGAGTACAGATGCCACAGGTCTTAAACGAAAGCGTTCCCAAGGTACAGTAACTGTAGTTCTGCTCTCTGTGTAGCTTACGCCAAGCTTTAGTTCAGTTGTGCTTGGAGCATAGAAGTTCTAGTTTTTTTCTAAAAATGTGTCTGTTGCACTGTTTGGCCTAGTTTTATACTATTATACATATGTATAAACTTTTGTAAACTATGTCTTCCATTAAGATGAATAATTAAATTTGAATATTAAGATGTTTTTAAGACAATATATAAGTTTTGCAGAGGAACAAAGTTTTGCTAGATTTTCTGCTAGATACTTTTCTCTTAATATTTCATCAAACAGTTTCAGTCTTTTAAACATATGTAGCTCAGAACTATTTCAACAAAATTTTACTTTGTAAATGCTTATTAAGCCCTTATTAAGCCCTTGCAGAAGTTATTAAACCCCTTTAGCTTATGAAAAGCTTCTTATTTAAAAGTCTGACCCTGTGGATGTTTTCTAAAGGTGTTAGAGTGTGTTGTGGTAATTAAATTGTAGTCCTGTGTGAGATACACTCACACACGTGCACACACATACACACACACGCAAACATAACACACACACAAATGTACACGTCAGTAACATATCCTGAGAGGTAAGTAAAATATAATCGGTTTTTATAAAACTTCTAAATTATTAGTCACATAAGGGATACATTTTCTTCTAGTGTGCCATGTCTTCTCATGGGGAACATGCTACCTCAGCATGTCTTATAGTCTTGACAAGGATTGAACCCTGTTACACAGAACTGTATTTTTTTAAATATTTTGTTACGTTTTATGCATGAGTATTTTGCCTGAATACATGCATATATATGCATACCATGTGCATGTGTGGTGCCATGGACTCCTGGCACTGCTGTGTGGGTGCTGGACTTGGAGCCTGGTGCTCTAGAGGAGCAGCAGCCAGTGCTCTGAACTGCTGAGCAACACCTTCCACCCCAGAACTGTGTTCTGAACGTGATGTCATCACAGCTCATCCTCAGGTAGAGCAGGTGCACCTGCCAGTTACTAGCTTTCAAGCAAATCAATCTCTTTTTACATCAAGTTTTTATGACTAAAACGGCGATGCAGTTTTTACCCTAACAGGGTTTTGAAATGATAATTGGTCGCAGTGGTGGTAAATACCAGTTTTCAGAAGATAAAAATGTGAAATTCTCTTACTTAAGTGACAAATATATAGAGAGGAAAATTTAGGCCTTCAGAATATATGAATTATCAAATTATTATCAGTAGAGTAGATCAATTTCAGTTCATTGCTTCCACAACTATTAATGGATTCACGCATGTGCCCTACATTCCAAACACTAAGTTTAGCACTAGAGATACAGAAGCAGCCAGTACACAGAGCCTGCTTCGTGAGCTGAGAATCCCTTATCTGCATTTAAATAAAATTAAATAAGCATAACCTCTGCTGCAGAAATGCAGCAGCCATGCTGGCATAAATATTAATTTCTTCTTAAACCTTCAGTTTTGTATTTCTGTCATGATGAACAATATTGAGTGAATATTGGCTTTAATATCCATTCCCAAAGTACCTTACATTCTAAAATATTATTCTCTTTTTACATTTTTTGTCTCACACTGAGTGAAATTTTATATATCTTGATATTTTTAGTAAAATAGAGCAGAAGGGATAGAGTTTAAGTTCCTGTGCCAGGGCTGTTGGGTACTTTTAAATAGATGTGTGTCCCTCGGGGAGAGGGGCCATGCCACTGGGCATGCAGCTCTTTATGAAAACCATCTTAACGGCATCCAGAGGCTGTCTGGTGCAGTCGGGCCTGTCCCTGCTGTTCCTCGCAGCACTGATGGCCGTCTGTAAAGGTCTATGCAATGCTTATTAGGACAGAGATAGCTCTAATGAAATGTTCTCTACTGAACTGAAGTACATATTATCTGACTTAGTACTGATTCAGAAAAGTGAGTGTTAGGATGTTTTATACAAAGAAAATCTGTCTTGGGGAACTTGAAATCCCTCTCTTTTGTGCACCAGCTGTTCATAGCTACAAACTGAGTCGGAACCACGTGGATTGGCACAGCGTGGATGAAGTCTATCTCTACAGTGATGCAACCACATCCAAAATTGCGAGAACAGTTACCCAAAAACTGGGGTTTTCTAAAGGTAATTGTTACACATTACTGTGGGTTGTCAAAGTTTGGGGAACCAAAAGTAGATAAAAGGTATATGTATTCACTCATCAACTTAATTATGAATGTAGAATTCTGTATCAAGGACAGTAAATGCCTTTCTGTGTGCTAAAGCAGTCCAAGTTGAGACTGTAAATTGAACATAGCAGTTGATGCATAGCATAAAGGAAGAGGAGGCTAGAATGTTTATCTTCAGTGACAGTGCATTTTGTGGCTGGAATTGTTGAGACAGAAGCCATATTGTCTTGGATTCATTTCAGTGGAGGAGAGAATGGTGATTGTGGGAAAGACGATGCAACTTTTTTAAAGTATTGCCACCGGAGTTGCTTCCTGGCCTTTTACAGTTTAGTTTTAGTGAAAGAAAAAAGAAGGGTTGGGTAGACAGCTCCATAGATAAAAAGCATTTGACACTCAAGTGTGATGACCTGAGTTCAGATTCTCAGAAGCCACTTAAAAGATAGTGTGCAGCCATAATACAAGCTCTACTCGAGGGAGACAGAAGGCCAGAGAGCCAGCTACCGTGCCTCAGCAGCAGAGCAAGAGACTGCTTTGGGAGGGGAGGACTGACACCTGCAGCTGTCCTCTGACCACAGACATGCTTCCTTACATGCCGCCCCCCCTACACACACACACACACAAATTAATGTTTTAAGTGTTTAGGGAAGATAGAGCATCCTCAGTAAGTTTGAAAATTCATTTTTAAGTCTAATAAAATTTTTAAATGCCATCTTTCACATTTTATTTGCTATAAATGTATCTGAAAATTTTATGTTTGCATTCATTTTGTGAGTTACCTTTTTATATCTTAAGCTTAAAAACAGTAATTGAATGTGTGTGCTTTTTGAGTAGTAAGCTCTTTGTATATGCGCTACGGCATTATAGATCATATTTTTGCTTAGTTTTCCTAGTATTCATGCATCTTTTATCTTTGTTTAGTGATTTTTTTTTTTTTTTTTTTT